TTTACACAGGGTTCCCTCTACTGGGAACCCTCTTTCATCCCCCACTTTCCTAGTCAACACTTGCTTCTCCTTCAGATCTGCTACCTTGAGGAAGTCCTCTGTGACCTCTTCAGTCTAGGTCAGGCTCATTTGGTTATAACCACTCAAAGAACCATGTCCCTTTCCTACACAGCACTCATCTCAATTTGTAATTATACATTCTTTAGGGTTATTCTTTGATTCTTTGTCTCCCTCACTAAAATCATAATCTCTAAGAAAGCAGGGACTGTGTCTGTTTAAATTCACTATTGTAGCTCCAGAGCTTAGCACTGCTTGGCATACCATTGGCCCTCAAATATTTGAGAAATCGACAAGTACAAAGACATTAAGAAAAAAAAGGTAAATTATAACTAAACAGCTAAATTATATCTACAAGGTGATCACAATCATGTATAAACATTATTAATATATAAAAATGAGAAGGGGTGACAAAGAACCAGAAATAGTGAAATAGGGGAAAGTGGTTAAATCTTCTCTTGTGACCTCTTTAAGAATGACAGTTAAGGCTTGGAGTCATACAGAATTGAGTTCAAGTCCTAGCCCTGCCATTTCAAAGCTATATCTCCTGGCCAAGTCAATGTACCTTTCTAAGCAACAGATTTATTAACTATAAGAAGAAGTAAAGGTACTTACCTCATGGGGTTGTGGGAAGGATTAAAAAAGATAATACAGGTAAAGTGCTTAGCACAAGTCCTACAGACACAACAAAGTAGTTACTGCTATTATTTTTATCACTGAACATGTCCACTAGAATGTAAGCCTCTAAAAACGAGAAGGGTATCAAAGTCTCTATATCTCCCACTAAACAGAGTTCTACACAGAGGACTATCACAGTTCTGTGTCCATAACACGTCCTCATTAAACGTTTGCTAAATAAATAGACCTGAATAAGTTTGGAATGTTGTTTTCCTCTATCTAGCTGGGCAACCAGAACCTGACTGTTCAGAATAATGAGATGAAAATAATAAAAGGCCCAGGTAAAGAATTCATTTTTCATCTATAGTCAAGCTGCCAAAAGGAGAGAGATATTGGTTATGCAATGGTGGAGAAGAAAAGGAATAGACGGGACACTTACCAGCAAGGTGTCCAGAGCATCAATTAGAGTCAGAGAAAAACTGTAAAAGGACAGAAATCCCAGCTGCTTAATAAGAAAATCAAACACCAGATATTAAGGCTGCCCCAGATCAGATATCCCAAAAACTAATAAGTGAGGCACAGCGATGCCCCGGGCTGTCCTTCTTCCAGTCACAACAGAGAAGCCATAGTAAAAATCGCCAGAAACCTCTGACCCATTTAATGCACCTAGGATAGTGGATTGATGTAGCTCAACTGTAGTTAAACATATGACCTATATTCTCTGGCATTCTCTCTGTCATAGGGAGGCGGTATGAAATTAGAGCTAAGAGTACAGACTTTTCAACATCTAGGAACTTACCTCACAGAGCACAGAAGTATATGCTTGAGAATGCTCATGGTGGTATTGTTTAGAAGAGCAAAAAGCTAGAAATAACCCAAATGTACAGTTGAAAAGTGATTAAATTGTAGTGCATTCAAACAATGCAAAATTATGAGGTTGTCAAAAAGACTGTTATCAAGAGTTCTCTTGGCCAATGTTAAATGAAGATACTCAAATCACATTGTTAAATGAAAAACACAAGGTACAGAATAGGCAGTGTAATATTTTTCTATCTGCATTTTCAAAGAGACATACAGACAGAAAGCAGATTAGCTGTTGTTTGGGCCAGAGGTGGTAGAAGGATTAACTATAATGTGGGTGTTCTATATCTTGATTGTGATATCAGAACATCAGAAATATTCTATATCTTGACTGACAGTGGTTACTATACACTTAAAATAGCTGTATTTTATGTAAGTTATGCCTTTAAAAAGTTAACTTAAAGATACCTACGTGATGGTATATACCTAAAACATTTCTGAAGGCTACGCAAGAAAGGTAAAAGTGGTTCAAGTTCTAGGGTATGCGAGATAGTTATTTATATGATTTTGTACTGCTTGACTTTGCCATTTGTTTGTATTACTTTTTCAACTAAAAAACAAAAACCAGCACAAATTTTGTTATGTTTCCTTAACTTCTCCAGTCCTGAGCATATTCATGTAAAATGGAGATAACAGCACTTCTACAGGTATTAAGAAAATTAAATGAGATGACACCAGTAAAATGCTTAGTGTGTAATCAATGTCCACTTCAGATAAATGCAATGAGTCTTTACTCAGTCAGGTAGAAACGAGACTGAGAATTCCAACTCTCACAGATTTTTATTCTAGTGCAAGTGAGAAAGACAAACTGCAGACAAGTGAAAATGATCGTATCACAGAGTGAGAAGTGCTAAGAAGAAAAATCGAGTGATTTGTGAGAGTGACCTGTAGGGGGTGAGTAGTTAGGGGAGCTGATGCTAAGGTGACATTTTGAGCTGAGCTCTCAAGAAGCAGTCAGTGTTGTGAAGATAATGGGAGAAGAGTGTTTAAGTTACATTAACAAAGGCTCTGAAGTTTCATATCTGGATGAGGCACAGTTCTTCCTGGGCCTGTTTGCCCACTTATTAAAATGAAGGGTTTGAGTTTTCTGACTTCTTGGAGCCTTTCCATCATATCCTATAACTCCAGAGATCTGGCCAGGTCCCCACAGCTTGTGCCTGTTATTCTTGTAGCTGAAGTCCAAAGGTTCGTTCAGTCCACCAGGCTAACCCAGGGCATTTTTCACTGCGGGATCCAAATTTCCAAAAGACTGGGTAGATCCAGGTGGTGTTAGCTTTAACTGGGGGGAACGCAGCCTCGCCCTGGCTAGGAACTTTTCCGGAACCGGTAAGAAGGCCACCAGCCCCAGCAGTCCCACCCGCCTAGGACAGGGCTGCCAGACCCCGACCGCCCCCTTGCTCCTCCGCTCGCACTACCTGCCCCAGGTGTCGTGCCCGTCACAGGTAAGAGGTCGCAGCTCGTCGTA